TAATCCTAAACTGATTAAAACATACTATACTTACTCTCCACAGTGCTGATAAAGAATATTCGTTCAAAGTATGAGGCTTGAGACAGAAATATCTTCCTGCCTAGGGAATTCACACGGGATGTAGACAGGAAGGATATTGTCAGTAAAGTAGATGATAACAAAAAGTGATGCCTGACCCTCTATCCTATATATCTTTTTTTAATGAGTCGGATTAAACAAATGATGTGTGAGGAATCATATTTCTTCCAGTAGCAGCAAAGAGGGACATGGTTCAGTCCTGGTTCTCTTGAGACACAAGCCTAACACTTTGAGAACTTCATGTTCAGATGCAAAGGGTTAAGACAAGCACAGTCCCATGAGCCTACACAGCCTTTGATGGGAGGCCACAGGGGTAGCTACCTGTGTGGGGGGGAATTTCTCCCTTTTCTTGTGGATGGATGCCTTGGGGCCAGCCCAGGGCCCACCTGCTGAGCCATGTCTGCAGAGAGCTCAATCACTGACCATCAGACTCCAGCCATGTCTGCAGAGAGCTCAATCACTGACCATCAGACTCCAGCCATGTCTGCAGAGAGCTCAATCACTGACCATCAGACTCCAGCCATGTCTGCAGAGAGCTCAAGCACTGACCATCAGACTCCAGCCATGTCTGCTGAGAGCTCAAGCACTGACCATCAGACTCCAGCCATGTCTGCAGAGAGCTCAAGCACTGACCATCAGACTCGCAGCATTCTCAGCCCCCTCTGCAGGAGCCCACACGTCTGACATGCTCTGCCCAGCATCTGGGACCACCCCTCACAGGGCTTTGTTTCTCAAGCAGACCATTAAGACAGTTTAGATGTATCCCAAAGGATGCAATTCCCTGGAGACTCACTGCATGAAAGAAAAACGTGGTAACAGAAACATGCCCAGTGTATACTGGTCAGCTCCAGAAGGCCTCTGTCTGACCTTGGGCCTCTGACTCTTTGGATAGAGAAATTCAGTGCTGAAGGAGCTGTCCTGCAGATCCATTCATTGAGAAGGAAGTGGAACAGAAAGGTCTTCCCCATTAGCAGACCCTGTAAAGACAGGAGCACAGTGTCTCTTGGATCCTGCTCCTATCTGAGGTGCAAAGCACTTTAAATGGGACAATGTAAAAAAGGTGGGGATTTGGCCAAAATCTCCTCATTCTCATCCCAGAACAGACAGCAGAGCTGGGGTGGGTGGAGGAGGAGCCACATCAGGATGGAGCAGAGTCATGCTGCCTTTGCTCCAGGGTGTCTCCAGGGCAGTGTGAACCGACCCGGGCAGGCTGCCTGGGGCAGAGCAGGGATGCAGAGCTCTGCAAGGGGCACAGAGGATGGTGAGCTGCTGGGGTCTGGCCCCAGGCTCAGTGGTGGTCATCTTGTGTCCTGTGGCAATCCCTTGCACCTCTCAGCCTGTTCCTGTTCCCAGAGGCATGCCTGCCAGCTGGGCCCCAGACTTCAAACACCATCTGTGCTGTGTCTCACCTTCCACTCCTGCAGAATGAAAGTTGTGGTTCAGTTGGATATCTGCTGCAAATTAACTGGTACGGATAAGATATTTATTATTAGTGTTGCTACCATAGCAAATGCAGTGTCTTAACAGAAATGCATTCAGGATTTATTGTGCTAAGGATGTAGAATGGTTCACAGGAAACAAGTCCGGATGAAATAACAGAGGACTTGACAATAGTGTTATTTAATGTTTTACTGTACCTCACCTTATAAAACAATCCAAGAAAATCCTATTATCTATCAAAGCAATGCAACTAAAAAATTTCCAATCCAAATATAGTTGGGGATTGACCAGTTGAAATGCTGCTGGCCAACATTTTAAGGCTTGAACCATCAAGATCTTACAAATGGAGGCTGCTACATTTACATACTACAAAATGCCCTTTCAAGGGCATTTCAGAAGTATCTCCCCAATTCAGTAATTTTACATTTGGGCAAGAGTAAATTATTTTCTCTACCCTAGGCCTGAAATTTGCTGATCAGGAATCGAACCAGGGGGTTTTATTTACAGGTCACTGAATTTGATCAATGTCTGGTCTTTAAGGGAAGAGATCAAAACATGCACCACACAGTAATCAAGTCCAGATGTTGTCTAGAAGACAAGCTCCAGTTCTAGCAGGAATTAATTAAGCAAAGTCTTACAAGCTATGTCATAAGGAAACCAGATGAAAACAACAGCCCCTGTGGCTTTTTATTTAAAAAATGCCACAAACATTTTGAAACAACTAACCACATTTTGGCTACAAATAGTTTAGCAAAATAAAACTTGCTTTTGGGTGCCCCAGCTAATGATTTACTGGTACAACCTGCTGGCAGTAAGCCCAGTTTAGACAGAGTTGAAAAAATGCCAAACATCTACACTGCATTCACCATAGAGCCTTTGAAACAAACTGTCACTGGGTGTAGGAAAGGCTGAGCCAGGAAATGCATTGTTTTGGGACCACAGGATCCCAGCTCTCAAAGGCATCCCCCAGAGTGGAGTAAATTTTTTTTAGGGTAGTTATCTCCTTTTCTGTTATAGCCTTAGGGTGTTTACTCTGCCACTGCACTTCTTTCAACAGGTGAAATACATAAAAGTAAAATAAAATTAAAAGGCTAGGTGGACAAAATGTTATGCAAAGGTTCTGCCAGGGAAAAACGGTGTGCTTTGGAGCCTTGCCCTACCCTCTCAGATGTGCCAGCCTGGGAAATCCCACACATGGGAAATATGGTCAGTGCAGGTGGCCACAGTCATTTGATGTAAATGTATCACAGCAGGCATAGCCCATAAATGGGATCTCCTGCAGCCCAGACATGGGATAGAGCTCAGATTCATGAATTGTATTGAATACATTTGTCTTCTAATGTTGCAGTTTGAGAAGAATGAAAGATTATCTAGTACATCTGCATTTAATCTATTTACTGTGGTTTTGTTGCTATGCCTCGTAAATATAGGTGACCTGCACCTTTTCTTAAACAGAAACTGATCATATATCTGATTTCTTGATTGCAAATTCCATGCATGAAGTATAAGGAAGAAAGAAACATGAAACCACAGCCAAAGAAGAGCAGAATATTGACTTCAGCCAAACTCTATACTCCTTGCAGAGGATTGTTACATTTTTAACAGAAAGTGATATGGAGTGAATTTGTCATCAGATATAAAGCATGCAGATGGGAAAGTCAGCATGGGAGGATTCATTTTCCTCATATCAGCTTAATAAATACATTTTAAGGTGTGACAGGAAAATCTGAGTGAAAAAACTTGTATGAGTTTATCAAAAAGCAAACACCCTAATGTTAACTTTCACTCTGTGTAGATAGCATACATTTCCCTTTCCCAGTATTTGTATAATTATGAGTGACTCATTCAAGCCCTGATCCTACAGACCAAGATTAAATCCCAAAAGAGGTTTGGATCCGTGTCAATAATTAAATCCACATTTCTGTCTCATGGCTGAATGAGACCCATTTGCAGGGAAGCTTCAACCCCACCACCAAAGCAACAAATTGCTCTTCAGCCTGAGTCACCAAGTTACAGAGCAGAAGATTTCAAAGCAATTTGGTTCAGCTTTCCTGATGCTTCTGGGACTGAATAAACAAAACCACAGATGCAAACACTTTTTCTGCTTCAAGGAAGGGAAGGAAAGGGAAAGACTGCAGAAAAAATGGATCTGATTATTTTCCATTTCTGTTGATCTGATAACATTTTAGATGTTTGGCAAAAAAGCTGTTAACTTACGGCTGGATATCCCATTTTCTGAGAAGTTTGAGGTAAGGAGGTTCCAAGCAGGTAACTGCAGCTTTGGAGGATTTTTCTATGCTCTGCACATTATTGTGGATACAGGTGTTTTCCTTAGCAGCAGTGGCAAAACACCCATGGCAACCCTTCAGCCCCTCATTAGCCTGAATTTTCTGCTCTAAGTCTTGCTACAGACACCTGAGGTGTTTGGCAGGGTTTGGCATTTCCTAGTTGTACTTTTTTTCCATAGGAAAATTCAACTCTAGTGCAGCATCTGCTTCTTAACAAGGCAATGTCTTCTTTTCCTGGCAATGTGAAATGAAACTTAAAGACATCCCAATCATTGGAACAGCTTTTCTGCTGCTTGTGACTCATCACTTAGTGCTCAGAACCAAGGACCTCTGTTCAACTAAATCACAACACCCAGTGAAAGCATCGTGATAATTCAAGGACATGCTTAATTAAAAGGGGTTCACTCAAATAATATTACATATAATTTCAACCAATGGTTAACCTTACTGTAGAATAATAGAACAAATATAAATTGACTTGCGAACACTAATTAACAGAAGAAAGGAAAAATATCAAAATTTCTCTCAGAGGCCAGCACCCTCTACTCCAAAACTGGCTCCCTGGGGTGACACATCTTGGTTCGGGGTGAGGGCCAGCAGGTTTGTGCTGCAGGGCCTGTTTGGCTGGCTCAGTTTGCAGCAGGTGTTGAGAGGGAGCAAACCGCGTTCTTCGGGATCAGCTGGCGACACGTGTGCCCGGAGCTGACCGGGTACCGGGCAGGGCTGTGCTGGGGCAGGGCGGTGGCCGCGGCTGGCAGAGCGCCCAAGGCGCAGCGCAGTCTGGTGTCGTGAGGCACACGGGTGACGGGAGGCTCGGGCTGCATCGTGCCAAGCCACAGGCGACAGGGACTATGTGGGTTAGGCGGGACCTCACCTGCAGGCTTGGGGCGGACAGAAGCAGGGAGGGCTGAGTGGGGCAGGGGAAGGCAGCGTGGCCTGGCCGGGGGCGGGAGGGCCGCTGCCGCGGGAGCTGCTGCAGCTGCAGCCGCCGCTGCCCTTGCCGGTGCAGTTGCCTGTGCCGGTGCCGGTGCCCGCGGCGGGCGCTGCGGCCGCCGGACTACGAGTCCCAGCGTGCCCGGCAGGGCCGGGGCCGCGCTGCGCAGCCGCCGCGCCGGGCACCCACCTGCAGCCGCCGGGCTCGGGGCGCGGAGGGGCGCGCAGGCGGCGGGCGGCGCCGGTCGGGCGCGGAGCGGCGCGCAGGCGGCGGGCGGCGGCCAGGCCCGGCCCCGCGGCGGGGTAAGGCGGCGGCCGGGCCGGGCGGGACGCGGGGCAGCATCGCCCGCAGGGCTCCGCGCACTGCGGAGCGGGCGCTGCCGGGGCGCGGCGGGGGCGGCGGCGGAGCATCCCCGGCGCGGGGCGCGGATGCGGGGCGGCCCCGATCCGAACCAGCCGCGCCCCGGGATCGCCGCGGGAGCCGTGCGGGACACGGCGGGCTCGGCCCCGCCACGCCCGGGCTCGGCGGAGAACGCAGCTGTGACAAGCGAGTGCGCGCCTGGTTATTGCGGAGCGCTCGCATCCTCCGGGTCACGCGTGGGAGGACAGAAATTAGATGGGCAGTTTAATAAAATACCTAAAGAAGGTGTTTGTGTGGATGGTGATGAGCTGCCCCTCCTTGGAGATCTCCTGCCTTTTGTATGTCACGGATAGGGCAGGACCGGCGGAGGGTGGTTCTGCTCCGCCGCCGGGCAGCGGGTCGGAACAAACGAACCAATGCCCGGTTCGGGAAGAGATCGCTGATTTAGAAAATGTAAGAACGTTTCCAAGGTCCCGAGGAGCAAAGTGTACCCTCAAAACGTGCACATTGGCATTAGATATTGCATACTGTCTGTTCTGTCATCTTGTAATTAAAAATAATCAGGGTGCCCTAGTTCAAGGGGATTTGCTTTGATGGAAACTTAGGGGAATGTCTTCTGCCAGAGTAAAAATCCACAGTTAATCAATGAGAAGCATGTAAAGATAACTGAGGAGTATAAACACCAAAAAGTAAATGACAACTGGTTAGATTAACATAAGCATCCTGAGCTTAGCAGTTACATAAACTTCTGAAAAAAATTCTAACATTATTACTAATGAGACAAATACAGAAATTCATCAATATCAAATATAAAATTTAAAATAATTGGAAGAAGTAATTATGTTTTTATACCATGAATGATACACTGTGTAGATTTATGCTTCTCAAAGTGTTTAGTAGAGGAAATCTTCATCAAGTTACTGAGTTGCTCATTTGTAGTAAATAGATTGTCTTTCAATTTCTTATCATATGAAAGCTTTACTTTAACTGGCTATTCTCAGAAATTTGAACTTCCTCTGTTCTGCCCTTCACTCTTGGAGAGTGGAACATGTAATGGTAAGAAACACCTGGGATCAACTGGCCTGGTACTGTAGCATCACATCCTCCAATTCTTTGTGAGAGATGCACTTATAGAAAACTGAACTCACACTCAGGGGTGCATGGTGGTGTCTCACTGAATTATACTGACAATATCTCAGTCCTTTCCATGTTATTCTGCACTCATTTGCTGTCTAACAGCCTGCCCGCCTTTGTGCTGGTGCTCTACACTGTGCACATCTTAACTGCTTTCCACTATGGATATACTTAAATTTTTACCACTGGGTAAGAAAAATGAAGACTTATGTGATTCATTTTAGTGACTTCACCAAACTAAATTCCTAATGCATCTTTTTTCCCATTTATCCAGCTTGGTTGTATGTCTGAGCTTAGCCAGTAGCCTCTCCTATCTTGATAATCTAAATAATTTTGTTCAAAGTTGTGTGCTTTGCTCTCTGTTTGCATACCTTTTCTTCCTTCCTCAAATTAACATTATTTCCAGTATTTTACAACTTCTGGCAAGCAATGCATTTCTGCTGTTACTGACCTGTTTTTGGGGTTTTTTTGGTAGCATTCCTATTCCAATTTGGTAGCATTGGACCTCCTAGTTTGATGGCTTCCTGTAATTGAGTGTCCTTTTGACTGGGGCTGAGGTGGCTGTGCAGAGTTTTGCACTGAGAGGCCCTGGTAGCATCCTGTAGCCACAGGTATTTGTACATGGTGGGTTAATAGTGGGGTGAATGCCTGTGTTCTGTTTGCTGACCACAGCAGACAAGTGTAGTGGTGGCTTCTGTTTATCAAAGGGGTTTGGTCATCGTTATTTGGTGCCCCAAAAATCTGTAAAGTTAGTTTTTAAATCCTTCTTTCAAAGAGCAGCAGGGACTGAGTGTCCAGCTGCTATGCTAAAACAGGGAAATCTGAGAACAGTGGTGACAAAAAGGTAGCACTTGGTTTGTTATCTGTTGGCAGCACAGGTGGAACAATGCTGGAGTTTATGTTACCCAGTGTCCTTTTTTCCTATTGATGTTTCCAACATGTGGGAAACAAACACTGCTGTTGTTGTTTCCAGGGTTGGTCTGATGTATTTCATCATAAAAATAAAAAGTCAATTTCCAGGTAATTCCTTCTCCTGTTTGTTGTTTCAGCTGTCGGGATGTGCACATCCTGCATGGTTTCTGGCTTTGGTTTACAGATAAAATGCAAAAAATGTTGGTAGTTATGATGTCTCTGTGCATTGTAAGGAGAAAAAGCAGCTTAGGAAAGATGCAAAAAGAGGGGTTATTTAGAGGGTACCTAGCAGTGGTCATTATTCAGGATCTCAGTTTTGCAGTCAATAGTACATGCTCTTACCCAACCTTTGGGTCTCTGTGCTGTGTTTTCACTTGGGCTATGTTATTAATTTAAAAGATCCACTTAAATGTACAAGATGTCCATGGAAGAAGGGACCCATAGCCAAAGGAAAAGCTGAACTATGCTTGACACTTGGAAGATGGTTCCATTCCTTATCTTGCCACAGACTTCCCATTTGGCCTTGCACAAGGCATTTCTTTCTCCTGACAGGGCAGTGCAGAGGCTCTCGTGTGGCTGATGGTGTTTAGGGCTCCACAGCAGCTGGTTCCATGTAAATGTGACCAGTCAAGGAGGATCCAGAGCCTGGCCTTTGGCTTTCCAGGTGTGCCTCTGTGCAAAGCTGCAGGTCTTCCTCCCCCAGTGTGTGCTTGGCTTTGCATTCACGGTGGCTGTGCTGATTACAAGGACTGCAGTTCTTTACCCAACACAAAAGCTGGAACTCTGAACTGGATGAAGACACCTCCTTGTAAACATCCCAGCTGTTCCTGTAATGTGTGTGATCCATGTTCCCTGGGGACCACAGATCCATGGGCTGCCGTGTCACAGACGGGGACATGTCAGCTCTGGGGCAGTGCTGACCAGGGGGTGCAGATTCACCTGTTCCAGGTGACTCAGCGCCTGTCTGCTGCAAACCTGCAGAGTCTGGTCGTTATTGAAGGAGCTTAAAATATCTTTGGTGCCCCCCAGAATAATGAGGCCATTTCTTTCTCCTTTCAATCTTATCCAAGGGACCATCAGTCAGCCCCCCCCCCAGTACAGCTCAGCAGCAGGGCGGTTCTGTTCACGTCACAGTGAGCACACAGATGACAAATTGTGGGTGGAGCTGCCACTCCATCGTCTCTCTTGCCTGTATGAAAAGACTCTGTCCTCCAGGACTCTCAGCCTGCACTTCACACCGCCCTCAGTTTCAGACAGTGACGGGTACGTCTTTATCTTAGAAGAGCTAATTAACATTGCCCAGATTTTCAAACCATCACTAAAGTCCCATAAACAGAAGAACCTTGCAGTGCTACAAAGTACCAGCTGCAATGAGCAGGAAGATTGTTTCATTAGTTTGTAACTAAACTTTACCCCTCTAGAAACAGTGGGGAGTGTTCATCTGCCAGAGACAGGACAGACAAACAGGTCTCTGCTGTTTGCCTGTACTCGATGCATCACTGAAATGTCAGACCACCACACACAATCCCACCAATGTCTGCAGGGTTTAGGTTTGTTCTGTCATCCTCTTCTTGGAGGCAGGAAATGAGTGATCTAAAGGTTGGATTTTCTAAGTAAGGCTTAAATCATCATATAGTTACTGTATAATTAGTCATCATATGTTTGTCTGGAAACAATTCTAATGGTTATGATCTAAAAAGATCGTGATACCCAGAAACAAGCTATAAATTCATCAGGCATTGTAAAGAAATACTTCCTTTCCAGGACTCAATTTCATGTTTTGAATGGTTAGGAGTAATACCACTAATGTTATTTTGGAAACAATCAGAAATTGGTCATTATGTAACATTCTGCCTCAGTGGGAGAAGCATCAATGTTTCATCTTTCTTTAATCACCAGGGAAAAACCTTTCATGCTACCTCAAGGGAGTGCATCCCTTTATGTCTTCTATAAATAACAGTGCTTTCATATGGATAATTTTGCAATATACGTGGTGGTTATTTTTTTGTAAAGGGCATGACTGAAGTCCCATTACAATGAATTAATGTCTCACATTTTATTTGCATGGAAGTTATCAATCCCCATTAAAGCAGCCAACTGTGATGTAAACTATAGAGTAGCATAAACATTACCAAGGTTCAGAATGCCACATCCAATTATCAAGTGGAGTTTTTCATCATTGAATAATTATCCTAAAATTTCAGGACTAGTCTAATATTAGGACAACATAATTGTTAATTATTCACTGCTCTCTGTATAGGACTGAACCAGTTGCTGGGAATAGAGCATGAAGTAACCCTACATTAGCTCTGGAGAAAAACAGCATTTTAAATACACAGGGATTTTGAGGGATTCTTTGCTGCAGTATGACAAAGGATGGCAGTGGGCTGGGCACAGAAGGGGTTTGGCCACACTCTGACTGTCCCAGAGCCAGCCCTGAGGCAGTGCCAAGTGCAGCTGAGCTCTCCCCCCTGCCAGCCCCAGAGACACACTCTGATGAACCCAATTCTGCAAGTCCTCAAACAGGTGATTTGCTCTGATCCACCAAGTGATCATGCCATGTCATGAATGTAAAAGGCTTAGAAAAGGTTACTAGACTGGAGCAGTTCAGTACTCCCTATGTTCTGAAGGTTTTTTTGGGAAACAAATAGAAAAGTTGGGGGATTCTAGAACAGGAAATACTTTTCTACAGATCTCTCTTCCATTTTGTACCTATGTGAGGTTCTTTGACATGTCTACTGTATCTGCATCAGGACCTGTAGCTGATACTCTTCACATCATGCACACACAAACCCCATTTTGTAATGCTGTGTTCCTGCCACACTTGTGTTCTGTGCTGGCCCTAATGCATTCTTTCTAACTTTTCTGAGATTCATGAACCTCCTACTGCAAAACATCACCTCCCAGCATACATCCCCCATATGTTCATGGTTAGAAAGTACATTGGTGCATTTGTTTTGCCTTTTAAGTACAAAAATTAAAAAGGAACCTTATTTATATGTCAGACAATGAAGTATTCCTGATGTTCCCTGTCTGGCACTGGGTTCAATGTGCTGGTGGGGGCACTCACTGGCCTGGACAGCATGGGACAATCATCCTCCTTCTACTGAGCATCTGCTTGTGTTGCACAAATACGGCTCTTAATCATAATGGCCCCAATCCTATTTATTTGGTCCAGTATCAATTTAACTTGGGATTAATTCCACCTGGATTTTATTTTCATGTTTAGCTCCATGAGTCTATTTAAAGAAAGGGAAGATTTTTTTCTGCATTTACAGATCAGTTTTACCACTTTTTTTCAAAATATAAATATCCACCACTGTGGATACAGAGATAGTTTAAAAGAGGTCATGCATCAGGATTTCCTTTCTAAAGATCAGTTGGTGTGATTTGCAAAAATGAGAACAATTTCTCAAACCTGATTATAAAAAGCCTCCTTTTTTCCCAATAAAAATGCAAAGAACTCTATTAATAGATTATTTCCCATTCATCACACCTCTCTATACTTCATAATGCACATTGTTATGCAGCTTCATTCTTAGCTTATGCACATTATCAAACCTGGAAATTCACATCCTCTGTATCACAGTCTTCTCCTCTCTGCAGGACCCCAAGACAGATGTTTCTCTAAGTGTGTAGTCTGTGTTTTAGATAGCAGGAGTGACCTGAAGTGCATTTGTAGCTGCTGGTCCGTAGGAGATTCTACAGTTCAGGTTGTTCCAACACTTCCTAAGGGATGCAAGGGGGACCCCTGTGACATTCAACAGTAATTCAACAGAGGAATGATTCACTCTCTGAAAGAAACATCTGCATCAGCAGTAGAAGATTACAACAGTGTTATGGTATCAGCAGAAACCACAGCTTGGCTCCTCTGGAAAGCCCTTTCAGAAGTGCATAAGCATAACAAAAAATTGCTTATGAACGTGGCAAGGTGCAGAGGGGCTATATCACAGCAGGTGTTAACTGCACTGAGCAACAATGATTTTATGTAGGCTGACTAATGACACCCTTTTTTCCTTTGAAAACATGTTTTGAATGCTGATGTTGCCAGGAATGGGTGAAAAGCTGCCCCAAATAACACCGTATGTATTTCCTTCTTTAGAAGGAATCAGGAATACAGCTACAGCAAGAGGTTCTTTGAAGCTCACTGTGAAACCTCTGTGCTCCAGAAGGGTTTAAAAGGAGAACATGGGTGGCAGAAATGCCTCTTCCAGTTCTGCCCCATCCAGAACAAGCACAGATCTCACTCACCTGCTGGGCTTTGCTGTTTAACAGTGGGGCTTAGGCCCAGGGGAAACTGAGATGCTCCATACTGAAACTCAGTGGAGAAAAACAAATGGGACATGTGCTCCCTCATTCCTTATCTCTTTCACTCTTCCCAGCAAGTTTGAAGGGAAACTGCACAGTGTTATCCATGCTCCCTCATCCTGCTTCCCTCAGTGTCCCTAGTGCAGTGTAACATTCAGGAGTGGGTTGTCTCTAGGTTGGACATCTCCCTTGTGCTGTGGGACACCTGATCTGCTTTTATATGCTCAAAATAACAGCAGCAGGGAGCTCTGGGTTAGAACTGCTTTTGTAACTAAGGGAAGCTTTCATACAGTGATCATAACAAAGCAAATCCAATGGATGGAGTGTGCAAGCAGTAAATAGCTGTGCACACTCAGGCCACAGTAAGGAGCTGCACAGACAGCATGTGGCTCTGTTTACATACACAATATTAACAGTATCAAATCCAATTAGGGAGGTGGAGATCCTTATCATCACATTAGACAGCAGTTTCCAGAGTATGTGAATCAAGAGTTCAGCATTTCCTTCCCAGTCTGACTGGTGCTGAATTGTTGGATTTATCTCCTACCCTTGACTTGTGGTACTGTGACTGGTGAAAGGTCAATAGAGAGCATAAACCTGGGATGTGAGCAATGGGTGTTCCTGTGCAGCAGAGTGAAAGCTCCAGAAAAGCTTTACTGCTTTTCAGGCATTGTGGACAAAGAAATTCCCTAAGCTGTGTCTTCTGCTTTTGTTCAGTCACAAAAAGAGTAGGATTCTGTTGTGAAAAGGAAAATATTAAGGGAATTTCTGTTGCAAATGTGTGCAGGCAAGAAAAGCACTCAGATTTCAGGCTCTTCCATGCACTATCAATCTAATAGGGGTTATTCAACACAGTACTTCATGCCATCAGAAAAGTTTGGCTGGTACATCTGTAACATCTGGGTTTAAATTTCTCTTTGGGGCATCCCTGCTGGACATGGTCAAACATCTTCTCTTCTTAAAATAGTGAGAGTTTTCACCTGTTCAAAGTGTCTCCTGCCACATTTCCCCTTTATGGCTGAGCCCTTGGGCAATTCACAAAGAATTTGGGGGTGTCTGGTGCACACAATCATACTCTGATTCACCTGGGTTCAGCTTTGCAGACCTCACAGAAGCTCTCAGACCCATGGCCCTGCTGATCCCAGTGCCACAATCCCTGGCTGTAGCCCTGCAGGGCTGTACCTGAGGGACAGGTCCTGGTTCCAGCTGTCCTGCTGACCCTCAGCCAGGGAAACTGCCCTGGACTCTTACAAGTTGCTTTTCCTACAATATTTAATTACCCTACCCTTGGGATTACATTTCTGTCTTTTCCAGGGATGTGATTAAACTCTAATAACCATTTAACTTAAATAGTTTTAAAAAGCTGTAATCCCCTCAAAGAAATTTTTTAGCTCAGTTAATGACTCTTAGCTGAAATGTTATGTTTGTAATGAGTTTATCCAAAGGAACTTAGAGAAGGCACCTGATGCCCTAGGGCAGAATGTTGTACTGCAGCTCCATTTGGTTTTACAGTTTAAACAAATTATAATTTTTAAATAAAATGCTTTCATTATTTAACAAGTAATTTTGATAAAAAATTGCTTGGATTAAACACATATTGAACTAGTGTTCTTCTTAATCACTAAGTACACAAAAACATTGGCTCCTTTGTACTGGTTTTGGTCAAAATATCCCCCACACTCATCACATATGATGTAATTTTGGTATTATAAGAAAATTTCACAGCACTTGTAACTTTGTTAAACATCAGATGCTGACTACCTCCCTAAAACAAACTCTCAATTTAAAGAACACTTGAATTCTATCCTGACATTTGGAATTGCTTAATGATGATGTCATGCTGGGAAAACAGCAGCCACAAACAGAGCAGGAATAAGGAAAAAAAGAAAGTGTGTAGGCAAAATAATGATTCTTCTTGGAATAGGATATTAAAGTTTCCAGTCAAGCCTTAATGTGGCTTGCAGTAGTCACAGAGTTCCAGATATTTCAAATTTGTAAATCCACTGATTATTCCCTGCCCTTTCAATAGGTTGCTGATTTCTAGTCTTTTTGATAAATATAAAAATGAAATATGTTTTAATATTTAGTACTTAAATAGTGAAACTCATAAGTAAATGAAATATTTTCATTTGGACTTGGAATAAAAGTAAAACAAAAACCAGGATTCCAGCTCATATGACAAGCAACAGAACCCACATGGATTTTATCAGCTTATGACAACTAAAAACCTGGCCAGAGGAAATTAGGGTTGGGGTTGGTCCATAAATCAGTGGTAGGTGCCAGTTGGCTGGTTTCCATATCAACCAAAACTCTGAAATCTGTGAGTGCAAAAACTCAGCTGTGAAACTGCCCAGTTGTGTCATTTGGGGAGTGCTGCTGCTGCTGTGGGAGCTGGGCACACCTGGGAGCCCCCAGTTAATCCTCCTTCCCATCATAAGTTTGTTCTCTTTCACTCTGTCCCTTTACAGGCTGATTCTGGTTCTAGAATTTGTTCTGGACAAGAAAAAAAAGAGCAAGTAAAGACAGAGAGTCCTTTGTCACATTGTCATATGACAGATAATATGACAATGGCTGTTGTGGACATGCAAATGGGATCTTCTTGTTCCCAGTCGGGAACAAGGAATCATATTCAAATTTTAAAACTAAAAGAGTTTGTGAAATACTAACTTCATTTTTTTTTCATGTTTTTTCAAGTTTTGAACTTCTGCAGGTCTCCCATGTAACTGACTGAAGTACAGATAATATTTTGAGCTATAACTAGCATCTCCTCACTCCAAGAATTTTGATTATATATGCTATCACTTGTATCCAAACATGCTGATGTTTTGATGTAACTACCAGTGTACCTGACAGATGCTTAGGTAACCAGAATGTGCCAAAAAGTCAGCCAAGATGATGTGGGTTAGCTTTCAGCCAGCAGCAAAGCTGGGATAAGATAGAATACCTCAAGGCATAACATTTTGGTTTTTGTTTGTCAGTGTTAGACTGTTGTCTGTGACTCTACCACTTTCCTTTGCTTCTGGCCAAAAGAGCAAACAGATACTGTTTCCAAGCAAATGAAATAAAGCAGCTGTATTTCAGTGAAAAAGGAAAAGTTGCTAATATTTTCCTTATCTGTGTCTCAGAGCTGCTGCTTGCTCTGCCCCCAGGCTGCTGAACCCGTCCTGGCTGTTCCCATCCCACACCCCTGTGCCGTGCCAGGACACGCTGCTGCTTTGTTTCTTTAATGAGTGTCACTGTGACCCTCAGCTTTCCAGGACTCTCAGCTCAATGGAGATGCTCACAATGCTTTATTGTTAGCAGTGAGTGTGGCTGGAGGAGCTGGGCACCCCTGGATGGTTGGAATCCTGAGCAGCAGAGCAGAGCAGCACAGCAGGAGCCATGTCTCTGCCCTTCCGAAAGGAGCTGGAGAAGTACAAGAACATCAACGAGGATGAAATACTCAGCAAGCTCTCAGAGGATGAACTGAAGCAGCTAGAACATGTTCTTGATGACCTTGATCCTGAGGTGAGTGATGACAATTGCAGTACTGCCTGTCAGAAATGCCACACACTGCAGTATTTTTTATTTCTATTCTGTTGCAGTAGGGACAGTGTGCTCTAAAGGATGAGCAGCTCAGCTGCAGACATTTTGGTTGTATTCCTGCTGGGATGTGCTACTTTTGTAAAAATCACTGTGCTCTTGGTCTATTTAGACATGAGCTTGTCTGCAATCTAAATTTTTAGTCATGTTGGCACACTGCAACAAAATGAGAAGCTTTTTATGGCTGCTATTTCTGAGCACAGCAATAAACAAACATAACCTGTGTTTATGGAGATCAGGTCTTTTGAACGTCTGAAATCTGTTGACTGTGTCATTCAGCACATGTATTTTTAGCTGAAGAGAACATGTTTGAGTATGATCAAGGATTCAGCTACACAACTGTCATTTTCCAGAGAATAAGAATAATTGGGATTATATCTATCTATCTATCTATCTATCTAACTATCTATCTATCTATCCCCCCAATTTTATATATATATATATATATATATATATATAAATAAATAAGCCCCCAATTATACATATATATATATATATATATATATATATATATATATATATATATATATATATATATATATAAATATTATATTTATATAATAATTGAGAAATTCTCACAAAGAATTTAAAGATCTCTGGTCTAAGAACCACTTGATCCTACAATAACGAGGTTACAGTCACAAGCGTGCAGGGAATTGTTACTGTACCTACCCAAAATTCTTAAAACTGATTTAGGAGCTTGAAAACTGGCAGGTAAAATGGCAGATAAAATATTCTGTCTGGAGGCAAAATGAATTTGGAGAAACACAATAGATTAATAGCTTCTAATTCTATAGCACCAGTTTGTCTGGAAATTAAGGGGGATTTTAATGTTCTCTCCCACCATGTTGCCACTTCCCACACTACTATCACTTCTACATTTCCTGGTATTTTTGAGTATCTGGCATCTCAAATGGAGACACAGAAAACCATTAAAAAAGCAACACCAACCAACACAGTAAATCAGTCCATGGTGCATTTGTATTTATGCTACATGTGTGCAGTGAATTTGGAGCACTCTGGGCACATTTGTGCCTGCACAGTTAAAATAACTGGTGACTCAAATTCACTGATGTGCTCAGAATTCCCTGTGTATTTGCCATGGATCAGATATACTGTGCATGTTCTGGCCAGTGTGGAAATGTTTCTGAAGTGCTCTGGGGCACCTTCAACACGTTGGCATTGCTGCATGTGCACTGCAAGGTCCACCTACCTGTATTCTTGGAATTTCCTGGACTGAAACGTGGGGGCCTCATGCATATTCCTATGTTACAGGATGCAGGTGAAATCACAGGATCCCACAGCTACATCTTCAAAGTGGGAATTATCTGCTTGCTTCCTCATACTCTGAATAGCTGAAGTCTACCTCATCCTCCAGTCTCTTTAGTGCATGCCATTCATTTCTGAAGTCTCAGAGACATCTGCTTTAGAATTAAAGGATTTTTTTTTTCAGTGAGAGAAAAATGGCAAGGAAAAAGTGTAAAGGAAATGTACAGAAAACATAGCCTGGTTTTTCTGCCTGGACTGCAAACTGTGTTTATAATGACCTTCCTTAGTTCTTTGGTGCTCTGACTGTGAATATGGTTAATACCAATATTAGTGGGTGTGGTTGTGTGCACAGGGGTCCCAGGACAAGGGAAGAGATGAGAATCTTGACTCTATGTTTCAGAAAGCTGATTTATTATTTTATTATATATATTATATTAAAAGAAGATGATATATTAAAACTATACTAAAAGAATAGAGGAAACATTTCATCAGAAGGCTAGCAAGGAATGGAAAGGAATAGAATGATAATAAAATCTTGTAACTAACCAGAGTCTGAAACAGCTGGACTGTGATTGGCTATCAATTAAAAACAACCACATGAGACCAATCAAAGATGACCTGTTGCATTCCACAGCAGCAAATAATTATTGTTTACATTTCGTTTGTGAGGCCTCTCAGCTTCTCAGGAGAAAAAATCCTAATGAAAGGATTTTACCTAAAATATGTCTGTGACAAGTGGGTAGTAAGTCAAGAAGCCTGAATGATGTGCTGGATTTTATGATTACATTCAGGTAATGTGTGTTACTGCTGTCACCCAAGAGCATTATGCAAAGCATGGTTTCACTTACAAAGCACTGAGACGAGGTTTGGAGCAGTGTGTGCAGCTGCCTGCTGTCCTTTCCCTGCCCTGTCTCTCACAGAATGCCCTGCTCCCAGCGGGATTCCGGCAGAAGGACCAGACCACCAAAGCTGCCACGGGCCCCTTCGACAGAGAGCGCCTGCTCTCCTACCTGGAGAAGCAAGCCCTGGAGCACAAGGACAGAGAGGACTTCGTGCCCTTCACAGGGGAAAAGAAAGGTACTGGCCCTGCTGGTGTTGGCACTGGGTGCAGACAGACTAACAGAGTCCCTGCTGTCTGTTCTGTGCAGTGTGCTGGGCACCAGAGCTGGGGGCTCTGACAGTGCAGGGCGAGGCTGCAGCCACATCTAGAGCTGCTGCAGGAGAAGGGGAAGGGCTGCTTCAGCTGCTCTAGTGTCTGCCTCACTGCTCTGCAGTGCCAGTGGCAGCTCCATGGTCTGTCCCAGTGGCAGCTCCATGGTCTGTGCTGGGCTCATGGCCTGTTGGGGGGTACAGCATCAGGAGCACCAGTGCAGCAAAGGGCTCAGGCAGCAGCTCCCTGGCCAGCCCGTGCCTCTGAGTGCACTCAAGCACAAAGGGGCCCTCACCAGCCCCACAGGGACTGCTCCCTGTTAAGCATTAGGCCATGCAGGGGTGTTGAGTGGGGGAGGCATTCAGGAGGAAACACATAAATATCTTTGTGAGTGAATCTTGCCTACAGCTGCTGTACATAACAGCTCAGGGAATACAGTTACAAAAAATAAGTATTTTTCCACTTGTTTACTATCACATCTGGCAATGCTATTCATGCAGACACTTTCCCTGCTACCCTTGTCCTACAGCTACAGGAAAAAAAAGGAGAAAAACAGGAAAACCTAATTCTAATAATTTAAACACTGGTAGGATAACCTCAGGGCAGGAACAGTCATAATTTAAACAAACAATATTCCTTTAGTACCACTAGCTCCTTTTCCCTGTTTATAAAAAGTGGACAAAAATGCTGGCCTCAGGCAACCCCTTCATTCAAGAAGGAACTTCCTATGTCTGGGTCCATTTCTGGCTATGTAATGCATTTGCCATTATTTCAATGGGATCTGCTTAAGGGAAAGCAGATACTTCAAGAAACTCCAGGGCAGCATTTTTTGCATTATGTACCATGACCAAAGATGTAAAATGTTATTTATATAACATTTCACAGGCCAGGAGTTGTTACTATCATTGCATTGTGTTCTCAGACTTTGAAACAATGATTTCAGACAAATGAGACATTTTTCAGCTCAATCTGATCAGTGTGTCATTTTACCATGCAGCATGTTCTTTAACCTACTTTTTGCCCCATCAAAATGCCCACACACTGCTCTTCACAGGGCTGATGGTGAGCCCCTGACATGCAGTGACAGGGCAGAGGTCCTGCCAGTAGCAGGAGAGGTCAAGCACACACTGTGCAGGAAGGAAAGCACTTTACTGTGGAATGGATTTATTACCAATTGTTTTCAGTCACTGAAAACACATTGCTGGGTCAGAGCAGTACAAGTCACTGCTTGCAGGCCCCCAGGTATTTATACCAACACCTTCAGTCATGTCTCACCTTACTGATATTTACAGAGTTAAGGTTAAGATTTTTCAGGTTTCACTGTAGTTATATCTGAGGTCTCCAAATAACCATGAAACATCAGTGCACAAACCCCAGCAGTGTAGGGAATGGTACATACCCATAGGACTGGCCCTTGATCTGTACAAAATGAGTCCCTGCATTGTCCCTGACAGTGGTACTGTATGCACTGGGCTGTTTATTCCATTTCAGTTTTCTTTTGATGAAGCTGAAGCAACATTATTCCTACATTTGCTTCCAGATGCCCTTAAAGTGCTTATGAGTTCTGCTTATTAGTTCCTGGTGTCTCTGGTGTGGAAATACCACTGCTTTGCAAACACAACCAACCACACATTTCACTTCCCCCTGAGCACAGAGTGAATGCAGCCCTCCTAGCATTTAAAGCTGTTCTTAATTTGGCTTTTGATTCACTGTGTTCATTTACTTCAAAATTACAATTTCAAGAATTATTACAATTATGAGGTAATGACAGCATTTTAGGCTACAGGAATTATTCCCTTAATTTCCTCTTTGTACAACACAAATTCATGACAAAATCCTCAGTATCAGCTTAAGCAGATTAAGTCAAATGAAAACAACCATGTGTTCTGTGATTTCTGCAGTCATTTTACAATTATAATCTAAACACACAGAATTATACTACATTTTCTTTGAAGTCAGAGGCCAAATGCTATGAAAATAGCCTTTGTTTCTTTGTTGGTTAGAAATAACTGAATTAATCTGAGATCTGATGAGGTCCAGTACCTTGACAATTGAGAACTGATGGGCTGCACAGTGTCATTTTTGTGCTGCTTTAAGGGAACTGACTTTGAGAACAAAGTTGTTTATTTTGAGCTTGGCATATCCTAAATTGGTACTGGAGTGTGAGTCCTGCTGCCCCTCTGTGGCTTGGCAGGAGGTGGTGTCCTACAGAAACACCACCAATGCAGCAAATGTCCAGCAATGCAGCAGCTGAGCCTTATAAAACTTATAGCTGCAATCTTTATCTGCCAAATGCACTGAAATCCTCCCATGGGTTGTATGATAAACCTGCTAATTATCTGCTAATTGGTAAAACGTGATGGATGTTCTACAAAGTCCATGTGTGGCTATTCCTGGATCTTAGAATCTGCTTGAAACTGCAGTGTGACTCGTTTTGACACTCTCAATTAAAAAAAAACAAACCAAAACCAGGATGGCTGTATTAAAATATATATTACTTGGTGTACACATAAAAGAAGGTATTTCCCATGCAAGGAAACAAAGCAATCCTGAAAGACATTTTCAAATCTGATACTACATGCTAGATGCTTTAATTGGAGAATAATTAGTATTCTTCCAAAGCTCAGTAATTAGTTCAGGGAAAATAATTTAAATTTCTAAAATGTGTCCTCAGAAGAATTCTAAAGAAGGATATCTCCCGAGGAAAATCTTATTTCTCATAATCTGCTTGTTGATGGTCTCTAAGATGTATTTACAGATTGGTAAATATTTATATGATTATATTATATAGATTTCTGTTAAATTATTTCTTTACACTCTAAAGGCACTGTAATGTAGCCATTCTGTAAATAATTCCAAATTAATTTGATGCTATTTCTGCTAGTTAAAAATTAAATTCTCAAGCAGCTCTAAAATGTATCCAGTTGTGTATATTTGGGAGGAATTGATGCCAATTTGCCATTTAGTATTTATGACCTAAGAATATTTGTGTGTCAGTAGGATTAGAGTATGTCAAGTGTTGTTTGAACTTTTGTCAGGGTTTTGTACTATGATATTTGTCTGCCACTAGGAAAGCATTTATTTTTTCAAGTTTAGGAAGTGGGATGCTTCTACTAAATGCAAAGTGACATTTCTACCAGTTCTTACAGTTACTATACAAAGCTAAAACTTGGAAATTCACTGATGAGCTGAAAAGAAGGTGGCATTTAAAATATCCTCCTTCCAGACAAGTCTGTGGTACGTGATGATTTTTTTATCAACTGTTATTTTTTTATCTACTACTATTTTTTATCTATTGTGATGATTTTTTATCTACTCCTTTTTTTTTGTTGTTAATATTTTATTAGAGAGTCCTTGACCAAGAAGCAATACCAAGCAGCTGCTGAAGGACAAAAACTCAGTTGCCTTTGTTGATCTCTAAATGCTGAGCAACCATAAGGTTTTGATTGTCCTAGAAAACAAGCTAAACCAAATTCCAGAGCTGACAGGGATATGTAGAATGGTTAAAGCACAGGAAATGTTAAATAGGAGCCCCAGACAAGGGGGGGTTGATTATGCAGGGAATGGCCTTGTTTTTGATTGTAATTGTGGTTTCAAGACGTTGGAGATGTTTGGCAAAACCAATCAAACATATGGAATGCATTAGGGTTTTGGGCCTCTGCCATATTCAGCTTGGTGATGTACTTCATTAATTGCTGCACAAAGAGGATTAAAGCCTGTATGGGATGGATCTCAGATTTCAGTGCAGACCCAAGGTTTGCCCCAACCAGGGCTGGAATGATCACAGGCTCACACCCAAAGCTGGCCACTGGGAAATGTTTTCAGACTGCTTTACCCACATCCTCCCTAATGCAAGTCAGGGCTGGGCACTTCATTTGAATGCCCCATTGTGTGGTTTGACATGACCTGGTGGCTCTCAGGAGCTCCTGTGCAACACAGATGTCTGTTAGCAATGAGCAGTGAGGGTGAAGAGTAAGGGCTCATAACTGGGGCCATGGTGATGGACAATTTGTAAGGGTTTATTTTGTGTATTTTGGATTTGATCCTACTCAGGACAGATGTTCTAGAATTCCTTACATAGAACCTGATGGTTTGTGGAAATTACTTAGGGTTGTACTTAAATTCAGTTGACCCAGTGTACTTGACACATATAGCTGGGACAGGTGGCTATCAAACTTCCATCACTTCCACGTGAAGTATATTTTCAAGTTCATGAATGACCCAGGAATTTAAAGAAAAGGTGGGAACACGAGGGGCAGAGCAGAGTCAGTGCTGTTTGCTCTGTTTTCTCTGCAGTCTGTACCTCAGTCTGACCTCAGCTAAGAGCTGAGTCCTGTTGTGGCACAGACATCAACTGGGAACAGCACTACAGCTTCTCTGAACTGTATGGTACTAATGAAACACAATTTTAAAAAGTTCTTCTGTTGAGAAATGTCATTAGCTATGAAAGGTTGCTTTAAGCGTTGCTGTTTCAACCCTTCACCACTGTCCCTGTTTTCTACATGGTCTTCTGCTCCTTGCCAAACCATTTCATTCTGGATCCCATCCAGTTCTCATCAAAGGCATGGAAAAACTCCAGTGGATTGGGCTATTATTATTTGTGTGGAAAGGGAAGGGGAACATACTTGTATGTGATTAAATACTAACATTTTCAGCTGATTGATAAAAGGGAAAGGGAAGAAAGTACCAGAGAACTTTTGGCCAAACCTGTGTTTTCAGTTGCTCTGGCATCCCTGTTGCATGTGGTGCTGTGCCAGGCAGAGTATCAGAACACAGCAGCAGTAATAAGGACAGTCATTTCCAGAAGGTCAGAGTGTTAGAGTACATGCTGATGAGTTCCAGTTCCACCATGTCCAGCAGACTGCTTCCAAAAGTTAGGGTTTAATATAGAGACACAGTATCTTTCTTGGATTGACATGGCAGTCAT